GTTTAATGAGGTTTGTTTGGGTTTTAATTATAGCTAACACTCTCTTTAACCACAAAGAGTCTTACTGTATTGCAACTGTCAACAACAGCACACACAATTACAGCTCTGAGGAAAAAGCAGAAAATCAGATAGGGATTTGCTAAAAATCAGGCTGGTGTAATATATCTTGAAGTATTCTACTATTGTGTAGCTATTATTTCTAACTTCTGTTACCAGCACTCACAAATCATTACCGGCTCTTTAAACAAAGGAATTACCTTCTAAAAACAGAAGAGGCATAATATTTTTCCCTGAAGTTATTCACCCATATTTCATGATGTTTATATACTGTACATAAAACAGAAATACAGACTAATACGCTGTGCATTTGCAACGTAAATAGAAAAGAGATATATGCCAATATGAACTACAAAGTTCCAGAGAATCAGTATTAAACTATTTTTTTCCTGCTTAATTCTGAGAAATAGCAATCTTTGTTTCTTACAGAAAAAGATTTCACACATTTACTTGTGGGTGCAGTGTTCAAGATGCCATAAATAATTCCTGTAGCTCCTATCAAGTAATTGCATGTCAGTGACTGCAGAAGGGAAAGAGAGAAGTCTGAAGCACTGGTCACAAACAAGTGCCAACTGGGAGTACTCCAGGAACGAGGTACTCAGCAACTCCGATGACCAGAAATGAAGGAAGGCCACAAATCACTGTGAAATAGTACATAAGCAAGAAGCAGAATCTATTTTTTTTCATTTTCTTTCTTTTTTTTTTTTTTTTTCCTTTTACCTTTAAAGAACTAGTCACACACAGGATATGAGCCAGAGAAAAAGAGTAATCATTACTTTCCAGTGAGTACGCAGAGGTGACTACGTAAACAGGGCAGAGATAAATCACAACTCTAACAAAATTCTTAACACTCTGGAAGTGGAAATCTTCAGCTGCTGTTGGGATTGCAACGATTCAGATAATCCTGCCTCAACAATTCAGGGCTTTAGCATTAATTTTTAATGCAATTAATCTGCTCTCTACTATACGTTTTTTATTTTTGCTTTTTACTTGCTTGCAGTACTAGGCATATGACATGCAAAGTGCTCTGCTTCCAGCTGGCATGCTGCAGTGATACGCATACATACTGGGCACCTCATTGCAGTCAGCTTACTAGCTTACAGGCGGGACAGTCTTGCAAGTAATAATATCATTCTCAAAGACCTATCTAAACAGAAATATTTTGCACTTCACTGAAGCTGTCAAAAAAACAAGTCATGCTGAGTTAAAGGTTTTGTAAAGCCAAGAATTCCTTCTCTTTTCAAATCAATAACCACATGCAACTGTTACAGTTTCTGCTTTACTGGTTTACAAAAGTACAAGTGATAACACTGGGAAGTAGGATGACTGAAGTCTATAAAGCAACTGATGTCACCTATGGTTTTAAAGAAAAATCTCATCAAGATTTACATCCCAAACAAACCATGTGAGTTCTGTGAAGAAGAAAAAAGAAGCCTCAGCAATTGTTACTGCAAATCCGCAATAGAAAACTTAAGAAACCCTAACCTAAAAGATCTCTTTCTCCTCTTCAAATACACTGTGTAAAAAATGTACGAAATCTAAATTTATTCACATAACAAATGTTTCCTGATAGGTCTTCAGGAGGACCCCTGGGTCATCTAGCACATTCCTTCAAACTAGTTCAGGAAAGATGGCTGCACTAAGCTACCCAACCGTTTTATTTAGCGTGCTCTTGAATGCCCTGAAGGACAATGCCTTGCTGACCTCTTGCCAACCACTCACTATGTCTAATTGACCTCCCTGGGAGAAAACTTGCCTTGTTTAGCTTCAGGTCATAACTTCCTGTTAGACCACCCATCATCACCTCATATAATTCCTCCTCCTCCTCCTCTCATGTTTCTTCTCAAATATGTCAGTTATACTCCCGTAGGCAGGCTGTATGTACTGTGCTCCTGAGACCTGTCTTCACAGGTCACGCTCTCCTATCCTTTTATCATTCTTGACACCAATCTTTGTACTGTTTTCATGTCTCCATATAGTGCAGAGCTCTTAATGATAAAAGCAATCCCTACAAATGTAGGATTCTACTTGCAACCAAAAAAATATATCCACTGGGCAAGTGGAAGAGTCAGGCAGAACCCGGCTGCCTCCATAGGCTGGTTTTCAGAGGGGAGCCTTCTGAACCTCACATCCTGGCATAGGGGCCAAAGACAGTAACAGCTGTGTGCCCCCCCTCCATCTCTCACCGAATTGTCCTCCTTTCTTTCTATATATTTCCTTGTGGGGAAATCACATTGTCTGGTCTTCAAAAAAATAATAATTCACTCTTACATGCTTACTTAGAGGTGAGAATGGTTTGGCATGCAAACAGAACAGTGGCACCAGGCCAAGCACACATAAAAGGACTTCTGCAGGCGGAGACGGAAGCATTTTTCTCAAAACGATTAAGGAAACACACGTGCTCCATAGATGAGGTTTGCTTTAATCCCAAAGCATGACCTTTAAAAGCAAAATCAGGGATGGCTAATGTAAGTGTATTTATATTCTGTTTTCTGAATTGGCCGATTACATGCTTATACCTATACCATCAAAAAGATTCTTTTTTTCCCTCTCTTCCTCCCTTCTCTCAGACTCAGCAATTCAGCAGCATAATAACTAGCATTTAAAATCTATGAAAATGTCAGTAATCTCCGCTGCATTAAGGCTGACACATCACAGAATCTGGCACAAAGCCAGAAAAGTAAAAACAATGTCTAAATGAAAACCAAGAGAGAAAAAAACCCTAAAATTGAGTTCTGTGCTTTGGAAAGGCTTTCATATATGAGATTTCAGAGTCCTCTAACTCTAGATCTCATCTGAAATTAGATGGGATCTCTCTTGCCCACCCAAGAGATGATAAGCAGGACTGAAACATGGATCCATACTTTTAGAGGGAAAAATGTATCACTTTCAATATCAAACAAGCAAAATAAATCTTGTGCCTGCTTCAAATGACTGATGGGGATGACTTTTGCTTAGAAAAAATTGTTACAATCATTCATGTCAGGGTTCACAATCCAGACAGTCTGAGAATGTCTCTTGTTTTTATTATGCATTCCACAAGAGGGTCTTTATGAAACACTTGAAAAAGAAAATAAAAATCAAGATTTATCATTTAGCCAACAGATTTTAAACAAAACTGGCTGAAGTTTTTCTGAGAGACTTTTCCTCAACTACAAAATATCAACTAAGCAACTAATTTTAACAAGGAATCTCTGCTACATATAGAATTTACACTGCCAGAAATTGTACATGGGATCACAAAGTGGCTGAGGCTGGAAGGGTCCATCAGGCCTGGGTCCATCAGGCCAACCATCAGTAAGCTGCTCTTACTGCCTATGTCCAGCCTCCAGTAGTGAGGGATTCTTCCCTACCTCACACACCTTGAATCTCGAGTCTTTTGAGAGCTCCTTTCAAAGATTTACATTTTCTTTTATAAAGCTTTTCTGAATCAATCAAGATTCAATACAGGAAGATTGCCAAATAAATTACTTCTCATTTCTACCTACAGTTAAACTCCTGTAGGGATCTGGAAATATATCAAGATCATTAGCCTTAATGCCTATAATAGACACTGCTTTAAGGTGAAGTGAGTAGTAAAACAGTTTAATACATTAGCCCCTACACTCCGGAGACCTTCAGGGTCCTGGCCAGGCTTGCTTCCTGATAACATTTGCAGGAGTCTGGGACACTGAAAGGCAACAGACCCTCTTGCTGGTGCACATCATAATAAAACACACATGACGATTTCTGTTCAATACCTGGCTCGGAAATGTTGTGAGGACCCCCTGGAAAACCAATTTCACCTATCTTTGCTAGAGGTCTACTATGAAGCAAATAATGCTACTGACTGAGCTGTGTAAGCTAACTCTACTTCTAAGGCATGAACTCCCTTGTTCCTCGACTGAAAATCCTTCTGCACGCACAAACACAACTGAAATCTGTCCCTGTGCTCAGTCCTGCTCAAGCTACTCCTTTGCTATGTTTATATATGATAAAATTAACTCCATTAGTTTTAAAAATTACCACTGAACATAAATACGGAGAATTTACTTATGTTGCTATCTTAAAAAAAAAAAAAAAAAAAACCCTAATGAGCTAGTTTAACTTGATTTTTTTAAAAATTGCATATTTTTTTAAGTTTAGCAGACTACGATATTGCAGAAGTGGTAATTAGCAATAGGTCACATCCATATTTTAATTTCTTGGTTCATCCTTATCCCTGGTTGGTTAAAAAAAAAAAAAAAAAGCCCAATTCTTCACTAATGAACATACATGAAAGTTAGGCTGAGGATCCAACTCATATTCTCCACTCTGACATATAAAAAGCTCTGCAAAATAATCCATTATTTAATATTTTAAAGGCTGGATAAAGCTAATTAGTGCCAAAAATTAGCCCTTAGCACAACATTAATTATGAGTTTGCCCAACAGCCACATCCCTGACCTAATGAGCATTAATGACTCCAAGAAATCATCAAGAAAAAGGCAAACATACAATTCCTACTTTGTACTTGATAAAACACCGTGATTCAGCTGCCAAACATCAGTAATGCACACTTTTGCAACAAGTCTGGAGATTTCCACAGATGATATTCCCAAACACGTTATGTTACATTTCTAATATACCACAGTAGATTTTCCAGTCACTTCGGACAGTGTTGAAATCCGAGTCAAGAGTACTGGTATGAAAGACAAGCAAAAAAAAAGAATAATTTCCCCACTGAACTGTGTTTCATATTGAAAGCGTCCATCTGGTCACCACCTCCCCATTTGCATTTACTGCAAAGTTTCCATGAAATGAAGTATGTTACATTTTTATACTCTGAAACTGATCTGACAAAGAACGTTCAATGCTTACCAACCATCACTGTCAAAATCTACCACTTCCAAAAACACGGCTAGGTATCACATAAGTCATCATATACATTCTTGAAATGTTGATAAAAATAACTGTTCACTGACCTCATTAATAAAAGTCTGGGCTCCCCGTGGGCTTAGAAGTAAGATAGCCCTTCGTAATGTGTCCCGATAGCGGTTCAGCTCTTCTGTTTTCATTGTAGTGAAAAGGTTGGCAAAGACTCTGCTGATGTTCCTGTCCACTTTTTGTAATGACACATCAAGTCCCAGCCTGGAGGCCTGATCGAGAAATCCCTGCAGTCCGCGTATATCTGTAACACAGGAGCAAAAAAAAAAAAAAAAAAAAAAAAAAAGACCGCTGCATCAACCTCTGCCAATTAGGCAAGCATCACTGATTAGGTGGAAAAATACTCCTTTTATTTCCTGTAGCGCTGTCAGAAGAGCATTCCACACAGCCTCACATGTCTAGGGCAGCCATTGCCCACAGCTCCCTTTCATAGGCAATGGCAGCAGGGAAAACCCGTAAGTTCCCTTCCCTGGAGGTCTCTGAAGCACTCTTTGAAAGAGCAGAACACGTGGCTGCATGGCTGTGGATACCTCCCTTCAGCAGCTCAAGGCCACAGGGCTGAACCCGGCACAAAGGCAGTCCCACCCCAAGCAAATCACAGCTCAAATGCAGAAAGCCAGCAGGAGATGGCGAAACAAGGGGATAAAGATCTCACCCCTAAGCCTCCCTCCTTCTCCTTCAACCTGACTCATATAAGATCATGCATGCTTTTCTCTTAAAAAAATTAAGATGTTCAGTATATATACAGCCCTCCTTTTTTCTTCCCCTTCTACAAATCCATGAAACAGTACACAAAGCTCCCAAGTGCTAGGATATATTAAACTGTAAAAAATACAGCATTTCAATATGGGAAATTATGCAAACAAACCCTTCAAAATCTGTTTATTTGAGCTCTACTCCTCAACTTCAAGCTGACTGAACAAAATAAGTTTTGCTAACCCAATTTGTTAGGACATTAACATGGAAGAACACATTTCATTATACTTTCATGCTGAAAACTGCTGGTTCAAACTGTACTCTGTCTTCATGACTATCAGCATTTTTCAATAATAAATGTCTGAGTTTTTATTTTGTAGTGAAATTTCAAGCAAGGAAAAGGTCAAAGCTTATATTGAACCAGGTTGCTCTCATTATTAATAGTGACCTGACAGCAGCTGTATCATGTCATAAGAAGCCCTTAATTTTATTTCAAATATGTATAGAGCTTGTTTTGATAAGAAGGCATTTTTAACTCTCCTCATATTTGCTTCTCATACTTTTATTATGAAAGTTCCTGGGTGAGACTGCACAGTGTAAGATAGAGTAAACATGTAGCCTTTTTAAAGCAAGAACAAAAGATTTGGGACAGTTTCATGGAAGGCAGCATTGCTGCTTTGTTAAATTGCAGGGGTTGCCCATAACTGCAACAATATTTATCTCAAGTACATGAAGAAACTGGAAACATGCTGACTGATGTGACCTGTAGAACCTAGGAAACACAAATGCAGCCATAGCTGTTGTAGCCAATGGACAGGCCCAGGGAGGATGCCTCCATCAGGACAGCCTCACCCCAAGCCTTTCATAGACAGTGAACATCTCTGTATCTATAAACTAGATTGTAAAACCTTTTTTCTGTTTGTTTAATTCTGAAAGTAAGGAAGTTCTCTCTGATAAAATTTTAATTATCAATACCACAAGGCACCACTAAAGAGAAGGGATCAAAATCCAACCTTCTTCAAGAAAGCAGAATTCCTTGTTGCTTCATAGGAATAAGCTTTTAGATCACTACTGATCTTGGCATGACATGACCATGAAATACATATACAAACTTCTTTTATCTTTCCCCACAAGAGAAGTATTGCATGAGACATAACAAAAGTAACATCTTGCAAGGTTGCACCAGCTGAAAGTCTTAAGTGCAACATCAATTAAGTAGTAAATACTAGATTCAGAAATAAGACACTGAAAGTTACCTTCAGTATATTCACACTTCTATCTAAACATGGAAACGGTCATTAATGTGATTCACTCGGATTCAGGAAAGAGTCACAATTATGAAGAAACTTGAGAAAAGAACAGAAATGAAGCTAGTGATGTGATGACCACAGCAGACTTAACTTGGACAAAGTTGCTGAGATGATGCCTCCAGCCAAGTCCATGCTCAGCATGGTGCCCTCGTGGGGCTCTGCTGGTGATACAGGCAAGCCCACAGCAGCTCTGTCACACACAGGTTATCTGCTGGGCATCTGCTGGTCTCCAAAATCCTGAGTCACTGAAGAAAGGATGGGTTGGAATATGCCAGAGGAATTCAGCACTCGTGTAAGTGCTAAATATTGGAGGTTGCTGAAATGATGACAGTGACAAACAACTGTTGTCTACAGGTTAAAGTATTTTATTAAAGTTGTCAAGCCAAGTTTGGATTTTACTAATTTACATTCCATAAACTTGCGTTCATTCCTATACATGTGCTCACTTAATGGGTCTGTGATACTAGAAAACAATTTTTTTAATGCTGTTTAGTCTTTCAAGAATGACTGCAGTGCTTGACAAACAGGAAGAAAATATGTTTACAAAATACATGGCTTATTAATAACCTGATGTCTGTGTAAGCATCTGAAGTCATTGTTGCACAAAGGAAGCTTGTTTACCAAAAACTGACCACGCTGATATTGCTCTAGGTTTTTCTGCCTTATGTTTTCAGCTGACCCTCCAGATCACTGGTTAAAAAAACTGCTGTAGACCAGCATAAAATCCTTGATGTGTATGGTAAGGCAATTTGGACTTGGAAGAGCAATTTGTATTCTCTCACACTATTTTGTATTCCCTCACAATTTCTTTTTTTTTTCCAAAGGAAAATAGCCTACTTCCCAATTTAAAAAAAAAAGGGAAAGGACTCATTTTTTCCAGCTTGACAACAAAGCAAACTCTGAAATGGAAGGAACTGTCCAAGCTCAAGTGTACAAACACAATCTGTCAGTTTTTCACAGATATAAATGAATGCGAATTTATTCAGTGTTGGCAATTAGAAAGAATTGCATGACTGTATCTTCCTCAACGCTGACATGCCTGTTCCTACACGACACTGGGGAGGAAGAGAAGGCTTGGTAGGAACTCAGAAATGGGAGTGGGAATTGAAGAGCAATTTGCAGGGGTGAGTAACCAATTTAGCTGCCTGACTAATGGGACCTTTCTTCTCAAATAATTATTTGCTATTGTTACCAAGAGGGCAATCAATTCTTAAAACGTATGAGTACAGAAACACACAAACACATGCACATATGCAGGAGCATCTGCTTATAAATCATAATGAATTAAGCTCAGCTTTATTTTGTCTGACATATCACATGAGAAAATAACTTGATCTTCTCTTTTTTTCCTACATTTAGTAGATCACAAATCCATTCAATGTAAAATAAAACCAGATCTTTGTTCCATGGTAGTTCAAACCAATACTAACAGAAATTCAATTGTGAATTTATTCCTATAAACGCAGTTGTTAAGTGCATGTACTTTGTCTCCTGTAGTCTTAACAGTGACTCTTTATGTTTTATTAATGCTCAAATTCTAACATGAGAATTATCCTGAACTATTACTAATAATTCCTCATGCCCAATCATTTCATACTTCATAGGAAAAGCACAGCAATCTGAACTCAATAACTGTTAAATACTTGTTCCTAGACTGCCTGATAAAGAAAACAGCAGTTTGCTGTATCTACATAACCTACAGCCACCTCTGCCTTTATCAGTTACTTTAGCTCAGGGCGTAGCCTACACTCAACCACAGAAGTCCCTCTGTGTGATTTCAATCATCTCACTGCCCATGTATATCCATCTCATGCACCTTTAACATGGCAAGCAGAATTTCAGAGACAGCATCCAAAATTCACTCTTTAGCAAATATCAACTTCTTGGCAGTGATGCAACACCTCCACTCAAAAAGGAAAATGACACTACGCACAAAAAGATGAACCTCTCTCATAAAACTTATCTGTAAAACCCTGTAATAATTGGATATGTATGAAATACTCTAGTCTTAAATACAACCACGTGAAATTAGCAGGTTGTAACTGGAACTAACTCGGAACTATGTCCTTCCAGTTACATCTGGCTTGGGAGGGAACTGCTGTAGCTGAGGGCCCTTTTCTTAATTCTGACAGATATGCTATGCATTCAGATTTGACAACAGGAGATCAAGATTTTTTTTTTTTTTTTTTTTTTTTTACTATGTCTGCAAAACAAAGGCAAGCTATAAAAAAGGGAGATTTATTGGACTATAAGATAAAATCATTTACTGCTTGAGATTATGTTGATCACTGCAATGTTTATTGGAAGACATCTCTAAAAGCATACCGTATGTGGCATTAGCTTCCACTAGGTAAAGCTTCTTTTCATTTACAAAGCAATCCATTTTTGTCATATTACTTGCAATCTTGATTACAGAAAAAAAATATATATACTGGAGAGTCTATGATAACATTTGCTGTCATTAAGTTGTAGTATCTGATTCTCGGCCTTGACACAGCTTAAAGCTAACATTTTTGTGTGAAACAGCTGTACAATTGGGCACAACTGGCCTCTAAGGATGGCTCATTGCAGAAAGAAATTTCCAGGAGGTAGAGAGCAGTATATATTGTCCTTTCAACATCAGTTCCTAACCCCAGTTGACATAAAAAGAAGCAGCACATGACCAGGAAATGTGCCACCTTGGACAGAAAAAAGCTGGAAGGAAACAAGCTGGAGCTGAAAGCTGGGCTGGAGAAGCTCCAAGAAATAATTTCACACTCTTTCACTCTTATCCATCAGCACGTAAATTTTAGGAGCACTGAAGTATCATCACCAAGCTGTATTATCGAATAACACCAATCTTTTCACTTGTACATTTGTAAAAGAGAAAAGTAAATAAGTGTGAAACACAATGAGATGAGGCAGAAAAGGCTGAGCTTTTGGGTTCTCATTTGCTTGAATGTAGGCTCTATACTTCACACTTCAGCATTCTATTTATTTGAGCATAATTTTGGTGATATTTTTAAGCAGTAACAAGCGTGTCAAAGAGAGTTGGATGGTTTCATTATTTTAGCACTTATACACTTCTAAAAATACATTCCATTTTCCCAACATTTTAGAAACAATATCAAGGCATTTCTTCCTTGCACTTAAGCTTTAAGAGAAAACAAGAAAAAAGAAATCCTTTTCTTAATGGATATTTCTTACTTTTAATAAAAAGATATTCTGCTTTATTGTAGGTTTGTATCTTTTGATTGTG